GGTCTCCCTTCCTCTCTCCTCTGCCTCTGACTCTATCCACTCTCCTATCTCTTAAATATATGCACATAAAATGTCTAAATAAATTATCTTCACGTAATAATAATAATAACTTTGTAGGCTACATTTTGCTTTGGAAAACAATAAATCAGAACTGCAGTCCCTCAGTGTGCCAGCAGGGGGCAGCCGGAGCTCAGGATTAAACTGAGTCTCTGTTAAACTGTCAGTTTGTCACTTAGATGTTATTAAAAGTTTACACTCGGGAGGTTTGGGGGCGTTTTCAAACAGGAAACACCTTCAGATCAGATGTTTTTATAGACTTTAAAATCACTTGAACATCAACAGTTTTAAATTTAAGATCTGTGAAAATGAAAAAATACAATGACGAGGTCACAACTGAATATGGTTTATGTTCTAATTAGATCTTTTTTAATCCTCACATATCATTCAGCCCTGATTTACAGGTTCATATTTTACATTTTTACACCCATGTTTTTTTTCGACTGTCTTTTGACCACCTATGTATTTATTTCCTCTGTTTTAAATCAATTCCTACCTGTAACAAAATGTTACATCTCCTTTTTATGTTTTAAGTAATACCGTAACACTTCTAATAGAAGCCCATCCCAATTTAAGGCCCGGTCCCTTTGAGTAGCAGCAGGTTTTAATTAGAGGCCTGTTGAAAAATAAGTTTGCTCTCTGAAAAAGTAAGATAGTGATTTGTTTAATTAATATCCTCATTTTGTACAGTTAAATATTCTCTCTCTCTCTCACTCTCTCTAACTCTCTCTTTTTCTCTCTCTTTCTCTCTCTCTCTCTGTTTTCTCTCTCTCTCTCTCTCTCTCTCTCTCACTGTTTAACTGTATAAACAATGTTCTTCCTTTACCTGCTTACTTAAATTGTGATGCTTAATCTGAACCTTTATTAAGTTTTATTACAGGAATTAAGAAGAAATAAACTCCGGGTGTGCGTGTATGTGTGTGTGTGTGTGTGTGTGTGTGTGGTCATGAATATAGAGGACAGTCTATTGAAGGCAGCAGTTTGAATACCATGACAACTCCCAGCAGCCTCACATGTATTCCCAGCAGCACAGCAGTGTGTGTGTGTGTGTGTGTGTGTGTGTGTGTGTGTGTGTGTGTGTGTGTGTGTGTGTGTGTGTGTGTGTGTGTGTGTGTGTGTGTGTGTGTGTGTGTGTGTGTGTGTGTGTGTGTGTGTGTGTGTGTGTGTGTGTGTGTGTGTTTGAGGCCATTATAAAGTGTTCAGGGGGAATAAATGGGATAAATGTGGAGGCTGTGCGGTCTTTGTGGCCACCAGCTCGTCGTGTGTTTGTTTGCAGAGCTCGACCACCCAGCAGGACCCAACACACATACACACACATACACACACACACACATACACACACACACACACACAGACAAAATCACTAGGAGCTCAACTCATTGTCACACACGTCACACACACAAAGTGGAAACAGAAAAGTAAAGCAAACACGAGAAACTGCGGCAACAAAAACGTCTCACAGAAATAAAGAACATCTTTTAATCTCATCTTTAACGTCCAAGCTTTTTGATTTCTACGTCTGAGTCATGACGAACACTCCCTGGTAACAAACGTTTTTTATATACAGCCTCAGAGTGCCTCAGACTTTCTGTTCCTTATACACTGAACTTAGTTTGTAATCAGGACAGTCATTTATTTATCAGCCATTTGACCTCTGACCCCATTTCCATGAAGAGCACCTGATTCCTCACATTTTTTATGACCCAGTGCAGAGACTCACTTCAACTTTCTTTCTCTTTATATCTTAATTTGATAGAAAGCTCTGTCTCTAAAGGGACAGTCCTACAGAAGGCCTCTTGTGGTTTGGAGGCTCAGGATGCAGATCAGTGCACGAGCGTCCACAGTGGATGGATAACAGACTTAAAATGATGTTTTTATGTTTGGCTTCATCCAGTGGTGTGGTGCTGCCTCATGAAGTGGGTATACTCTTAATTTGTGTGTCCCGTCCCTCAGAGGATAAACAGCTTCAGTGACATGAGACTCCTCTTGCATTGGCTATTTAGTGAGTGTGCGTGCTAGCCAATTAGAGACAGAGTAGGGAGGGTCACCCCTTCACCATCCTAGGAATTGCATCATCCTACTGAAAATGGTCAATCACTTATCGGTGTTAATCAGAGGAGATGTAGAAGTAGGATGGAACACTACAGTGAGTTCATCTGATCCGATGTGCATCCGGGTCACCACCAAGTCATCAGACAGACAGTGAAACATGACGCAGACATTCTCAGGATGTGGACCTGAAACATGTCCAAAGATCATCAACGACTCATATTTACACACGAGGAGGACGCACAATGACGCTTTACTGTTTCTGAAGTGTTCAGCAGGTCACAGAGGCAAAAGAATGCTTTTAGTCCACTCTGAGAAAATCCTGCACACCCACCCTGGACGGGATTCAACAGAACACGTTTAGTCCCGGGCTGAGCAGCACCCCCTTGGTGCAGGGACTGAACGCTACCGGAAGTCCTTTCTCTTCGATGCCGTCAGACTGTTTAATGAGGTGTGTGTGTGTGTGAGTGTGTGTGTGACACTTGACCATTTAGTCTTTCTTTGTATTTTATATCTTAATATATTTACATTTGTTTTTTTTCAGTTATCTGAAACATGACCGACATTCTGCACTCTGTCTTTAATTTATAATTCCTGTTTTTAAAATCCTGATGTTTGTATATTTTGTGTCTCGTGTTTAGGAGCCTGAATGTTCTTTATCCTGTGTTTTTATTTTGATTGCAGCTGCTGTATCTGTGTGATTCCCTGCAAAGGATTAGACAAGGTAACTTTATTTTTTTTATAAAACAATTCAGCAACAAGCTGATTCAAAGTGCTTCACACAGGACAGGAGGGAAATACTTAATAATCTCTCAATCTGTCTGCTTCACATTATCAGAGGAGTCGTTACTGACAGATTAAAACATGAGTCCTCTCTCTCCATGAAAGAAGAAGAAGAAGAAGCATGGATATTTATCCAAAAACATCTGGACAGATCCTGTTTTAGTTTATTGGTTTATTTGGATCCACCACCTTTATAGGGTCTGTTCTTCCTGGTGGTCCGCTCATGCACACATGAAATTAAAATCCATACAAATGACATTATTAAAAATCCAAAGCAGAACAGAAAGAGACAAAAAATAGAAAAAAAACCAACAACAGAATCACAGGAAAAGCTGTTGTAATGATCATATTTTGATATTTGTCTCTTTGACATGACATATTTATATTGTGAGCTGTCCTGAAATGAAAAAGGTGCAAAAATAAATAGTTGAAATGATTGGAAGGCAAATACATGAGCTGTGTGTGTGTGTGTGTGTGTGTGTGTGTGTGTGTGTGTGTGTGTGTGTGTGTGTGTGTGTGTGTGTGTGTGTGTGTGTGTGTGTGTAAACACTTCCACTCGTGTTAATCCTCACTACAAACAGCGACACTCACTCAAACACTTCTCTGTGTTTGCTGTGAAATCTTCTTAAATGTAGAGATTGTAAACAGTGTGTCAACAGTTACTTTATTCATTTATTAATAATCATTTTTAAATTCATTATTCAATCTTAGTTAAAAAAAAATGTTTTTAAACGGCTGTCTGGAATAAAATATTCTTATAAATGTGAATTTTTGGAGATTTTAAACCCATCAGGGCTTCTTTACAAAAAAGCTGATTATACAGTTTATGTCAACAAATTACATTTCCATCTGAACCTCATCCCGTCAGGATCTTTTTTTATTTATGTTTTAAAGGAAGAAAACGTAACAAAGTAGTATCCCTCAGATCAGCAGGTATACGGGTCATCGTCTGCTGAATTTACCTGAAGTCCAAACTGAATCAGGTGAAGGTGCGTTCATGGACCAAACTCCCCGCTGACCTGCGGACCTCTGAGGTCTTAAGTCCTATGAAGAGCGGTCTTAAAACATCGCTTTTCTCTCGTGCATTTGGCTGCAAGGTAATCTGTGTGTGTGTGTGTGTGTGTGTGTGTGTGTGTGTGTGTGTGTGTGTGTGTGTGTGTGTGTGTGTGTGTGATGATGTACAGTGGAGATTCTAAAGTCTGTTGGGCCCCCCTCCTGCTGGTCTGGGGCCCCAAGCAGTTTCCTGTCCTGTTTCTGGTCCTGTTTCTGGTCCTGTGCGCTCCAGTAAAGGAACAGGTGTGATGTGAAGGTGCAGGCTCCTTTTATTAACGTGTTTAGTCTTAAAAATGTGCTTTTCATAGTTTGTTTTGATGTGTTCATGTTTGTTTTCTGTAAAGCACATTCAGTTTACATTTGTATGAAATGACGTCATTATATCGCAACAAAATATTCATTTATTTAGCCTAATTAATTAGAGAAATAGTGGAATTTAACTGAACTCATGTTGGGTAAACTTGTCAATTTATTCTGCCACATTTTAATCTGCAGATAAATATGTTTATATGTTGAGCAATGATTTGTCTCTATAGAAACGGTATTTGTAGTTTTTCTCGGTTTAGTTTTGGACACATTTGGGTTGATGTTCCAACAGGGCGCGGATCAGTGACTCTAATAAATGTAAATGAGTCTCTTGTGTGTCTCTAATCCTCCATCGTTAAACATCTCCTCCTCCCCTGCACCTCCATCAACTCCCCTCAGCGCGCTGCTCCGGGGATTCTTCACACCCTCAACCACTTGACCCCACCGGGACCCCGCCCCCGTCCTTTTTAACGACACACACACACACACACACACACACACACACACACACACACACACACACACACACACACACACACACACACTCTCTCTCTCTCTCTCTCTTCATGTCCTCCCTCATGTATTTTTCATGCTGTTAAATCCTCCCCGGTCGGACCCGTGCAGCTCCGGGCTTCATGGACTCAAACTCTCCGCTGTGAGCTCCTCTCTGCCGGGCTGCAGCGGCTCGAAGCACCGCGGAACTTTTTCAGTATTCTTCTGCGTCTCCGTTTTGTCCCCTCAAAACCGGCGTCATGTCTTTTGGCACCAGCAACAAAACGGGCTTTTCCGTGCGGGACATCCTGGATCTCCCTAACCCCGCAGGGAGATGCGGCGCCGGCTCCGGCACCGAGGAGACGGAGGAGGAGGACACCGAGGAGGCCTCCGCGGAGGTCTCAGGCTCTGAAAACGCGCCCGTGTTCGGATTTAACGGAGGAAGCTACGGCAGGTGGAGCCGCGGATCCGGTAACCTGCACTTCTCATGTGAGGAAACACACTTTTTAAAATGTAGAAATAAATAAATAAATAAATATATGTGGCCCATTTATATGATTTAATTTAAATTTAAATATTTGAGCACACTGTTCTTCTTTCTGACTTTGGAATCTGTGTAAATCTATGTTTTATTTTTTTTTATTTAGCCTACTCCAGATTAAACCGTAAATTATCAACCGGCTCAGAAATATTTTTCTGCATTTAATATTCATCACATGTAGGCTATAATTAAATATATATTGTAAGATCTATATTTTTTGTTAAAATAGTCTGATACATCTGCAGCCTAAATTTTGTCTCATCCTTTTTTCTAATATATATATATATTAAATCTTTTGTCAGATTTATTAAAACCTGTAATCCATTTATCAATTATTAAATAACTGCCTCGTTAAGGATGTTAATTGTTTAATTCACTTGCTTATAAAAAGTGTCATATGATTATGCAGCTCGTTGTTTATTTAGCTACAGACGCATGTTGAGCTTCAATTTGTAGTTTTTTTTTATTTGTAGTTTTTTAGGGGGGTTCTTATAGGTTTGTTTCCAGTGAAAATGTTACTAAGATGGGGTAATTGTCCTAAGCATCATTTTTTTTCGTTGTTGTTATGTTATAGAAATCAGATTGGGTGGACGTTTCATTGAGTTTTAATCTCTTCTTTCATTTAAAACAATCAGGTTTCTGTGAATAATAACATCACCATCTCTTCTTTTTTTTTGTAGTACACAGTCTTACCTTAAACTCCCGTCCGGAGCCCAAATCTCCGGAGCTCTCCACGGATGAGTCCCCGGACGCGGACCGGGACGCCGCTGGGGCCGCCGCGCAGAAGACGCGCGGCAGGAAGCGACGCGTCCTCTTCTCCAAAGAGCAGACCTTCGAGCTGGAGCGTCGCTTCCGGCAGCAGCGTTACCTGTCCGCCCCGGAGAGGGAGCACCTGGCCGGGCTCATCCGTCTCACCCCGAACCAGGTGAAGATCTGGTTCCAGAACCACCGCTACAAGATGAAGCGGGCCCGCGTGGAGCACAGCCTGGAGGCGCTGCAGCTGCTGCCGGCCCGCCGCGTCGCCATCCCGGTGCTGATGCGGGACGGGAAGCCCTGCGACCGGATCACGGCGCAGGACCTGGAGGTGACGCTGAGGTCCGGGCTCAGCCTGCCTCTGTGCGCCTACTCCCCGCTGCTGCACCCCGCATACGGCCCGGAACATCCCGGCCTGCCGCAGCAGCACCCAGGGGTGCAGCAGCTGGCGCACATGTACCACTGGAGCTGGTGAAATCCGGGACTTAAACGCCTAATGAACTCCACGGCTGAAAAATCTGACGTTTTAACCTCGTGTGTTCTGTTTTCTTCTTCTAAGAATTTGTTTTAATGCAGTTTGGTTTGATTTTCAAAGTAAAAGCACGTTTTAAAATTAAGACTCACTTCCAGCTGAGTTAGGATTTAAATTTACAGCTTGTCTTAAAAATAAAAATAATAATAATAATTTTTGGCGTTGAAACAACCCACCCATCCTCCCCAGCTCGGATTAATGTTTATATTTGTGTTTAACCTCAACACAAACAACAAAAGAGGTTTTTTTTACTTTCACGCGCCCAAAACTAAACTTCTTGTTGTGACTATGTGGATGAAAAAGACTGAAAAGGCAGCACAAAGAACCAAACGTTCACTTCTTTTCTTTTTTTAGGGGGGGGGACTTAATGACTTTTGTTGTTATAGTTGTTGTTTTCGTTGTGTTTTCTGCAGAAGTGTCACTTTTATCGCGAGATTACGTTTTTCTGCGTGTTTTCTATAAATCTATTTATAACTGATGTTGACGGTGAGTTTGTTTTGTAATGAGCTGAGTATTTATGATGGTGAATAAAAAGCTGGAGAGAGGAGTGACTGGTTTTATTTCAGACATGAACAGGAGTTATTTAACTCTATAATATTTATTATAACTATAATTAAGATTTACTTTAGGGGAAATTTAAATTTACACTCTACACAGGCTGAAACACAAACACATGCACAAACAGGATCCTAATGGAGAGATGTCAGAGGGAGGGGGGGGGGGAGGCTGCACAGTGAGCGCTCCTGGACTGGTGGGAGTGATGGTGGGTGGGTTCGATGCCTTGCTCAAGGGCCCCTCGGCGGTGGCTGCAGGAGCTGGGGATCAAACCCTCGACCTTCCAGTTGAGAGACGAGCGACTCTACAGAAGTCTGAATTGGATGTCGCCTCATTTAAAGGGTGAACAAGCTAAACAATAATAAATAGAAGTAGAAGAAGAAGTCATGATGTGGGCTTTGATTGGAAAAAATATTTTATCCATGGATCTACATGACTTCAAATCAGTTATAAGAACTCTAGAAAAGCCTCCCACAGACTGGCCTCAAGCAGGACTCCATTCACCTGTTGGGTTTATTGTGAGTTAAATCACCTCACAGCGGAGGTTCTCTTGTCGGGTTTCGGGACGAGAGAATGCAGAGGAGATAAAAAAGGATCTGGGTCGTTGGCGGTCCAATCAGTCGGTCACTCATTGAACTTAAAGCTTCAGGATCAATCTGGTGCAAAAGAAACATACATGTGAGCTCATCTCAGTGGAAAAGGGGAATACTTTCTTTTAATAGAATTTAAGTATCTCACCGCTGTCTCTCAGTTATGAAGTTATGCAGCCTTGGGATGGTTAACTTAGTTTAACTTGAAGAGTGTCTCTGTCTGAAAGTAACAAAGCAGCGCCCTTAAACCCGGAGAGAAGATTCAGGTATTTACAAATAGAAGTAACAGAAGTGAAAGAGAGCTCAAGGAAGGGAATAAAGGAAAGGAAATTCTGAATGTCCATGTTCATGTTTCCACCCAATCTAAAGGACTGTGGCACCGGTGGCCTAGTGGTAAGTGTGCACACCCCATGTCAGAGTCAGTGGAATCTTTTAAATCACTTCTTCAAACTCACTTTTATAAACTTGCTTTCATGTGATTTCTCCTTTAAAGATCTATCGCTTCCTTTTATTAATTTTATTGCTTTTAACCTTTTTATCTTTCTCTTCTTTAAATGTTTTAGTCTTTAAATGTTTCCCTTCCTGTCTTCATTTTACTGCTCTTAGTCTTTTTAAATTCCTCCTCCTTTCATGGTTTAACTCTTCAGCTCTCTGTTGCTTTATTCATTTAACCAATGTCCCGTTTATTCTTTTTATTTTCATTCTGTGTTTACAGCCTGTGATGTGATGTCGTCCCACTCTCCCTCAATGTTATTTTTTTACATCATGTATAAGATGTCTTACTCACTTTTTTTAAACGACATTTCACAAGTAAGCTTCTCAAATCGGATGGAAACACAAGTTCTGACTCTTACCTTGAAAACCTTCCCTTAAAGTTTTCCCTGTTGGGCATGGTCTCTCAGGAGGCAGGACGAAAGAAAAAAACCATAAAAAGCCATCTTAAAGGAGCAGTATGTAACTCTGACACCTAGTGTTTAAAATGAGTTCTGCAGTCCAAATTCTAAACATCATAGAGAGCTGCCCCCCCCCTCCTCGATGTTCACTCAGGTCACCATGTGGTGGACTCTGAAGCTTCAGTGTTTATCCAGCTCTGCATGGGTCTGTAAACCTTTCTGTGTTCTAACCTCTCTCCATTTTTCAAAAGCATCTCCAATATTGATCCTAGTTTGAGCACGTTTCTGCTCGTGGAGCTTATTAGAAACATGCAGAGGCTTTTTAGGTCGGGTACAATCACTTCTACCTGAACCACTTCTCTTGACCGCTTCCATCGCTGCAACACCTGTTGGCCTGATAACTGCTCTCATATCTGACAAACCGAGGGGCGTCCAAAACGGCCGTGTGGGGGTGTCTTAAAACCGCCTACCATCTCTGGTCCAAACAAATCCAGAGCATTCAGGAGCAGAATCTAAAGTTTAAAAAAAAAAAAGCAGATTGTTTGAAAGCGGAGCCACGTTCATGGATACGACAATCTCCGCTTGGTAAGAAGAAGAAGGAGGTCAGATGCGACGCGGCGTCAGACTTCGTTTAACCGGTTTACTGATCTTTATTCTGAATATTTTAGTTTTTCTTCTGAATCATGTGAGAGGATTAAACATCTTAACAGACACACGAGCAGCTCCTCACTGCGAGGTGACAAAGGAGAGAAAGACCCCCCCTTGTGTGTGTGTGTGTGTGTGTTGGGGGGTCTCTGTATTCAGTATTCAGAGGGGTCAGAGGTCAGCTCATCTCAGAGGGATGATGTCACAGGAGTGGGGTGTGTGTGTGTGTGTGTAAAGCTTTGAGACAGTTATAATGTGTCACCTGCTACAATAAAAGAGGAGAAGAAGAAGAAGAGTTTAAAGGGCCAGTCTGCTGTTTTGTTTTTTACTGAAGACCAAGATCCATAGGCTACGTTTTATTTACTCCTCTTTCCTGTCATAAATTCTGTTGTGGTTTTTTTTTTATAGGCTATGGATCTTGTATCCCTAAAAGAGCAAAAGAAAAAGCAATGTTACTTTTTTCTTCTTCTAAAAAACCTTTTCATGTCCGCACAAGGATGTAGCCCACAGGTCGAGAGAGGGAAAAGTGTGAGGACGTCACCTGTTGCCATGGTGATACATCATATACCCGGGAACAGGGATGCCCGTTTTTAGAAGATTAAAAAAAAAAAAAAAAACGAAGGCCCTAAAAGTGTGCACTCTATGTCTTGTATTTTCCCTTTAATAAAAACTAAAGCAGTGTGGAATCAGTGGAAGCAAAGCACATCCTGATCTGGCCTATCACAGCGGGCAGACTACTGTTTTCAGCTAGACAGGAAATGAGTTGATGTGGAAAAAAAACTCAGTTGAGATCTCAACGGAAACAACTGAGACGAACTGAGTCATCAGGAGAAAAGCTGCAGCACATCTTGAGAGATTGAGAGACGCGAGATCCGTTTTAACAACTACAAGCATGCAGTTCATCATGCAGCCAGCAGGTGGCAGCAAGAGCCTGAACAAAACATTTCTCACACACACACACACACACACCACACACACACACACACACACACACACACACACACACACACACACACACACACACACACACACACACACACACACACACACACACACACACACACACACACACACACACACGTCCTCTGGCAGAGTCTTGATGTGAACTGGAGGTTTTTGCTGTTCTCAGCAGTCTGTCCCCTCCTGTGTGAGCAGTGGGGTGTTGGTCTGGCTGCGTTTGTTATGAAAAAGATGATGATGATGATTCCCCTCAGAGCATTAAATTAAACACAATAAATCAAACCTGCTTATCTCATTTAATGTATTAGTTAGAGTCTGTACATTTGTGTAAACATTAAGAGGACAGTCATTGTATTTGGTTTAACACATCTTATTTATTGAGTCAATAATTATCTTTAATAGTGTTTGTTGTATTTTTGTGTATTTTCTTTTCATGGTCATTGCCTGGATATTTAACATTTCTACCTATGAGAGCGTTAACAAACATCATAAATCAATCTATTATTGAATCTCTGTTTCTATATATAAATATGTAGTCTATATGTTTTTCAATTTCCTCATACGGTGACTCTCGAAGTATCACAAAAAAAGTGTTTCTAAAGCAAGAGTGTAGGGGAAACATGTTCAGGGATGATTTCTGATTGGCTCTCTGGTGAGCTCACTTGGGCAGCGTGATGGTGGAGGTGGGGTTCAGACAGGATAATAATAATACTAATACTACTAATACTACTACTACTACTAATAACAATAATAATAATAATAATAAAAATAAAAATAAAAATATTATTATTATTATTAATAATAATAATAATAATAATAAAAATATTATCATTAATAATACTAATACTAATAATAATAATAACAATAATAATTATACAAAATATTAATAATAATAATAATAATAATAATAAAATAATACGAATAATAAGAATTATTATTATTATAATCAGGACCGATGTTTAGTCAATGTGTTATTAGCAGGATAACACTTTAGAGTTATTCTATACAAAGCAGTAAGATATAGCATGCTGCGATACATACAAAGTATGGTTTGTCTTTTTATAAAAAGCTTTGCTGATACTAAGAGAATCATGACATCAGCAGACTGGTTCTATAAACACTGGTTCTTTTCTTTTTAGGTTTTATAGTCAAAGCAAGTCAACAGTAAATATTTACTACCCTCTACTGGCCAGGAGAGGTACTGCAACGTCATCCCCCTGCAGCTGTAAAATCTGTAAACCCGAACAGACTTTACTGAGAGAAGCTTTAATCCAGTGATGCTCAAAGGGGGCCAAAGTAATCAATATGTGTGTGTGTGGTGGTGGGGGGGGGGGGGGGATCAATAACAGAGTG